GATGGCAAAAATGAGAATGGGCCGTGTATCTTTATCTTTATGGGGAGTCATTACTGTTAATCAAAGAGCAGGACATTATGTATTGCTGTCTTCTATTTATTTCCAAACCCAAGCAGTTCTTGAAGACAGCGTTTAAGGTTTATTACAAGAAAATACAAGTGATCGATAATGACATCCTAACTCACTGAGGCTCCTATCGTCTTAGAAAAGATAGCCTTTCTATTGTCACGTTATTTTTTTACTTTCCTTCAAAGCCCTATTTCCATCTCATAAAACAAAACTTTACAATTTGTTATTCACTTCTCTTTTCTTACAAAAATATAAGCACCAGGACTGCAAGAACTTGTTTCATGCCTCATATGCAAATCCTAGTGTCTTTTTAGTGCTAAATGGGGTATATTGACTCTAAACAGCATGGCATAATGGGAGATGTTGAAATATTAGCCACAGGAATATATATACTTAATTAGCAAGAAAGTCTTGATTGGACCAGTCATCCTGTTTTTGTCCCTTGCTAGGTTTCTGTTTCCTCAGAATTTGCCTAAACTTATAGACCTCTTCTTTTTTTCAGTATTTAATCTAAAATGTTTATTTCTTTAATATATTCATATTATTCTCTTTATTCTTACTCTTAGGATAATTTCTTGACCTTATAAACATAGCGTTCAAAAGGGCTTTGATAATGTAATTCTACTGATATTTTTCAGAAGGTTTCAAAAACAATTCCAGGTTTTTAAAAATTATATTTCAAAGGCCTCTTCTTACTAATATGACTGAGAGGGGCGTCTCATGATTAAGTTTAGCTGCTCCACAATGATGTTTTTGCCTTCTAGAAAACAAGGTTTACAATTACCAATAATAGAATGTTTACCTCTACATAATGTTCAATACACAAAAATGTCTTTAAAATAATTTTTTATTTTTCAATTACAGTTGGCATACAGTATTACATTAGTTTGGGTGTACAACATGGTGATTAGACATTTATATAATTTATGAAGTGAGCACTCCAATAAATATAGTACCCATCTGTCACCATACAAAGTTATTATAATATTGACTATGTTCCCTATACTGTGTCGCCTGCGACAATTATGTCACCAGTGGAGCACCTGGATGGTGCTCCAGAGTGGTTACAGCTGGCTACCAGTGTGCCGGCCCTGGGGCCTCCTGGGAGGGGCCCACCTCAGGCCAAGGTCAGTTGCCAACTATGCCATGCCTGGGGCCACTTAGCGTGACCCACCTGTGATTCAAAGATGTCTTCCACCCACACTGGGCTTGAAGGTACCTGGGAACGACTATGCTGTGAACTGAGGATTGCTGCTGCTAGTGCTGGTCTTGGGGCTGCTTACTAAGAGGTGCAGGGCTTGCTGAGACCAAATGATGCTTGTTTGAGGGTGAACATTTGAGAGAATTTAGGAAAGTCTGCAGCATGAGCTGCAATAGACCATTTGTGTGGAAAAGTCCCTGGAAGTGGCTTGGATGGATTGGCAAGTTGGGTGGGGTGGGGTCTCAGGGAATCACAATTGTGGGATGAATGGTGTTATCCAGGTTGATGGAGACTTGTATGTGGCTGCCCCTGTCTGCACACTGGGAGGAGAGAGGGCTCAACAAAGAAACAATGGATTCTGCCAGCACTTCTGTCTGTGAGAAAGCTGCCCCTCCAGCCCTTGCCCTGAAGCCATACAATTTAGTTCCTCCCTGTTGGCCTCTGGCGCTTTTCTTACAGCTGCTGCAGCGCTGGAGCTCAGACTGTGTTAGTTGATCAGTATGTCCGTATGTGGGCCCTTTAAGAGGAACACCTGGGACTCTAGACATGCCCCCCTGCCCCCATCTTAATAAGCCACAAACTCCACTGGTTTTCACAGCCAAAAGTTGTGAGGACTTCTATTTCTGGCCCTGAAACCCTGGAAAGTCTGGTGTGGGATGGGGACCCCTCACTTCTCGGGGGATCTCTGGAACTAAGATATCCTTCCCAATTTTTAACCACCACATGTGGGTATAGGACTAGCCTGTTTCGAGTCTCAGCCCCTCCTACCAGTGTTGACGTAGTTCTTCTGTATGTCCTTAGTTATAAGACTTCTGTTCAGTTTTAGTTCTTCAGGTGATTCTCAATGAAAGTTGTTTTGTAGTTTAGTTGTAATTTTGATGTGGTTGTGAGAAGAGGCAAGCATTGTTTACCCATTCCGCCATCTTGACTAGAACTCCACAAAATGTCTTGATGACTTCAATAGCCATCAATTCATCTAACACAAGCCGAAATCCTATAAAACTGCTGAGCAACCTTTTATGTTACACTCCACAGTTGTGTGTACTGCATGGTCATTGTTATTGGAATTCACTACCATTTTGACTATAGATACAATTCTGCAGGTCACTGGCAAGAAAGCACTGAAAAACCATGATTGAAGTTTCTGGTATTAAAATTAAATAAAAAGTAACTTTCATGACAAAAATCTAACTATAAAATAAAAAGTAAAATATGCCTAAGGAGCAATTACCTGAACTTGAATGCACATAATAAAATTTACTCATAACGTATAATGATTAAATGAAAAGAATCACAAAAGATATTTGAAAATCCATAACAAGATACTTTAACATATTCTCTCAAAAACTGGAAAACAGTATCTGTTAGCACATGACTTAGAAAGCAGTTAATATTTCTATGTAAAACCTTCAGAAGTGTTGACAAAAAAAATTGCATACTTTTAACTACAATCAAACATAAGTAAAAAATCAGGAAAACGTACTCATTAGTACTGTTTACAGACTAAGGTGTTTCCTATAGAAATTAAACATTGTATGGATATAATCTAGCAAAGAAGAGAAACACAGAGTATTCCCAAGCAGGAAAGTCTGACTTAGTTTCCCAGTAGACACAAGAGAGCTTACAGAAAAATCCAAACTTTGATGGATCTTTGATGTGGATCTGGAGAAACATCAATGGAAACTTGTACCTTTGAGAAAGTGGAAACCGAACAGTTGTTGGTTTTGAGGATAGCGTTGATTGGAAGTCAAAGAATCTGTAAAATGGGATAAAAGATTCTGTCCTCTAGGGTCTTATACATCTGTCTTTCCCTGTATGGTGGTTTCAAAATCTAATATGTTCTTTGCTTCTCCCTTCCAAATCTCATGCAAGTGAGGCTACTGGTGAACTCTTAAGATGGAACATTAAAGGGGATGGATTCTTCAAAATCTAGTTCCTAACATTAGCCATAGGGCGGGGGTGGGGGAGGGGATATATCCAACTCTATATTTTTTAAAATTCTTTTTTAATATTTTGAATCTATCAAAGGGAACATTTTCTGGTGAATTATATTTGAGGCTTTTTCCCTTTCAGCCATGTTTTCCAACTCTAGATTTTTTTTTTGTCCTCTCACAGGTATCTCTTAAATCAAAGCCTATTCATCAAATACCAGTTAGAATGAAGGACAATGAGCAAATATGAAAATATTAATTCACATGAAACTATGTTATTTCATAAACTGGCCATGCATAAAATTCATTCAAAGTATGTATTAGTATGGAAAACATAAAAAGGCTTTTACATCTGTCAGCCCAAAAAAGGAGCTTTGTTAGTAAAAAAAAAAAGAAAAGAAAAGAAAAAGAAAAAGAAAAAGTAGAATATGTGTAATTAATGGACTAAGGATATCCAGAAATGGTCACAAAAACAAGTAGAAAAATCCTAACAGATACCAAACTGTCATTTTACAATGGCCACTTAATTCTCAACAAATAAAACATTAAAAAAATTTAACCTAATTGCACATTAGAAATACACTTCAGTTCATGTAGGGATCTAACAGCTTCAAAATGGAAAAAGAAAATATTAGTTCATTTAAGGAAAAGGCACTAATAGTCTTATGTATTATTGAGTTTTTTTTCCTACATAAAAGTTCTTATTAATCCTCTCATGAAAAATCTGCTCAATCACCACAGATAAAGTCAAATCTTTACTACTTCTGTTATCCAATCTCCACCTCACTGCTAGACACCATTTCCTTTTGCCAGCACCAACACTGGCCTTTGCAGTCCCCTTAACTTTGTTCGCTCTGTTCTTGTGTCCCTTTTGCTGTTTTCTTGGGGTATTTTTCTTCTCATACAGGCCATAACTTACAAGTCTATGTTTAGGTTCATTTTTCTTTGCATAATCCGAGAAACCATAAATCATGCCAAAGCTAGTTGTTTTGCCACCACCAAAATGGGTTCTGAATCCAAATACAAAGATGGCACCTGGTGTGGTCTTATACATTTTGGCTAGTTTTTCCTGAATTTCTGTTTTAGGTACTGCTGCCTTCCCAGAGTGAAGGATGTTGATGACCATTTGTTTCCATTGAAGTAGTCCACTGGTCATGAATTTCCTGGTCCAGATATTTACTGTTTCATTCATGATGGCAGCTGACCCTCGAGCAGTCAGAGAGGAAAAAAGAGTTCATGCAATACTGTTGAAAGATGATTCCCAGAGTTATTTCGCCTCGATATTCACTTCTAGAAATCCACATTGCAATGATGCACTTTTCAAAACAAGCTTGATAATGTATTCACAATTTTAAGAATAATGTTCCTGAGTTTTCTGGAATATTACACATGGATTAAGTTCCATCAAGCTTTGTCATGTTATGTACAGTTTTCTCTCTTTTCTCTGAGTTTTCAAATGTAAAGATGTGTATAAATTGAAATTTTTCTTGCATTGTTTAAGAGGTTTTATCCAGTGATTCCTTTTATGCCTTTGGAAGGAACTGAGATGGCTAAAGGCTTTCCCACATTCTTCACATTCATATGGTGTGTCTCCAATGTGCATGCTTGCTTGTGTTCAATAGTTTCTATGAACATGAAGGGTTTCCCACATTTCTTACATTTCTCTCCAGTGTGATTTCATGTCTTTGGAAACCTTGTAGAGAACAGAAATCTATTTCATTGCTTACACTCATGGCATTTCTCTCCAGTGTGAGTCCTTTCATGTTTTTGAAGATAATTGAGACAACTGAACTCTTTCCTACATGTTTTACATTTGTAAGGTTTTTTTTCCAATGTGATTTCTTTCATGTGTTTTTAAGGAAGTGTGATCATTGCAGCCTTTACCACGTTGCTTACATTCATAGGGTTTCACTCCTGTGTGCATCCTCTCATGTTTTTGAAGATATTTGGAAGAACTGAATGCTTTTCTGCATGTGTTACATTCATAGGGTTTCACAGCAGTGTGACTTCTTTCACGTGTTTTTAAAGAACTGTGATCTCTGTATGCTTTACCATTGCTTACATTTGTAAGATTTCTCATGTAAATCCTTTCATGTGATTGTAAGGAAGTATATCTGGCTTCACTACATTGTTTATATTCACAAGGTTTCTCTTCAATATGATTTCTTTCATGTTTTTGGAGATAACTGGGACGACTGAATATTTTTCTACATGTTTTACATTCATAGGGTTTCACTCCAGTATGGCTTTTTTCATGTGTCGTTAAGTAAGTGTAATTCCTGTAAGCTTTATCACATTGCTTACATTTATAGGGTTTCTCTGTGTGAGTCTTTTCATGTTTTCGAAGATAGCTGAGACAACTGAATGCTTTTCTGCATGTGTTACATTCATAGGGTTTCACAGCAGTGTGACTTCTTTCACTTGTTTTTAAGGAACTGTAATCTCTGTATGCTTTACCATTGCTTACATTTGTAAGGTTTCTCGTGTAAATCCTTTCATGTGATTGTAAGGAAGTATATCTGGCTTCACCGCATTGTTTATATTCACAAGGTTTCTCTTCAGTGTGATTTCTTTCATGTTTTTGGAGATAACTGGGATGACTGAATGTTTTTCTACATGTTTTACATTCATAGGGTTTTACTCCAGTATGGCTTTTTTCATGTGTTGTTAAGTAAGTGTAATTCTTGTAAGCTTTACCACGTTGCTTACATTTATAAGGTTTCTCTGTGTGTATCCTTTCATGTTTTCGAAGATAGCTGAGACAACTGAATGCTTTTCTACAAGTGTTACATTCATAGGGTTTCACTCCAGTGTGACTTCTCTCGTGTGTTTTTAAGGAATTGTAATCTCTGTAGGCTTTACCACACTGCTTACATTCATAGGGTTTCACTCCTGTGTGTGTCCTTAAATGTATTCGAAGATAGTTAAGACAACCGAATGCTTTTCTACATGTTTTACATTCAAAGGGTTTCACTCCAGTGTGACTTCTTTCATGTGTTTTTAAGGAACTGTAATCTCTGTAGGCTTTACCACATTGCTTACATGCATAGTGTTTCACTTCTGTGTGTGTCCTTCTGTGTGTTTTTAAGGAACTGTGATATCTGTAGGTTTTTCCACACTGCTTACATTTACAGGGTTTCTCTCCAGTGTGAGTCTTTTTGTGTATGTTTAAAGAACTGCAGTATCTGTAGGCTTTACCACATTGCTTACATTCATAGGGTTTCACTCCTGTGTGAGTCCTTTCATGTTTTCGAAGATAGCCGAGACAACTGAATGCTTTTCTGCATGTTTTACATTCATAGGGCTTCACTCCAGTGTGACTTCTCTCATGTGTTTTTAAGGAAGTGTAATCTCTGTAGGCTTTACCACATTGCTTACATTCATAGGGTTTCACTCCTGTGTGAGTCCTTTCATGTTTTCGAAGATAGCCGAGACAACTGAATGTTTTTCTACATGTTTTACATTCATAGGGTTTCACTCCAGTGTGACTTCTCTCATGTGTTTTTAAGGAAGTGTAATCCCTGTAAGCTTTACCACATTGCTTACATGCATAAGGTTTCTCTCTTACGTGAGTCCTTTTGTGTGTTTTTAAGGAATTATAACATCTGTAGGCTTTACCGCATTGTTTACATTCATATAGTTTCTCTCTAGTATGAGTTTTTTCATGTACTTGAACATAACTGGAACTGAAGGCTTTACTACATATTTTACATTCAGAAGTTTCCTCTCCATCGTGATTTTTTTCATGCTTTTCAAAATACTGGCAATAACTGAAGTCTCTCTTGCATACATCATCTTTATATGGCTTCTCTCCAATTTTCTGATACTCAGAGGGCTCGAGTCCATTGTGACATCTGATGTTCCCATTATGAGATGAATGCTGTATTAAGACTTTTCCACACATACTGTATTCCCATGGTTTTACTCCAACAAGAGTTTTCTCATTCAGATTTAGATCTGAATTTAGAGTGAAGATTTCTCTGCCTTGACTACCCTCCTTCTCTTCACTGATTCTCTCTACCATATGACTTCTGTAAAAACATGAAGCACATTATTAATAATTAATAATTTTGTATTTATCAGAATATTTAAACATTTTTATGTATAGCAAAAAAAAGCAGTTTTTTAACCTTGTCTAAATGGTTTGAAATTGAATATACTGGATGCTCTGCATTAGGGCTTCAGCTTTTCTATTATCAAAACAGTCATATTCACATACAGGGTTTATTAACGCTGTTTTTCATTTGAACTACTTTTTAAACACTGAACACTTATGATATATATAGGAAAGTAGTTACGTGAAAATTTTCTGAGAAGTCATCAATTGGAGGTGAGGGTTGTTTTGGTTGATTCTTTTTAAAATTTTGTAGCATAACAGGTTTCTCAGGTGAGACAGTGCTTTGTATTGCATGTGACTCACCTTAGTTTTTTCCCCTGCTTTTTGTACTGATCTTCAATATCACGATCCTTCCATTTCTCTCCTAAAATGCAGATCCAGAAAATTGATTCCAAAGTATTAGAAATTATACAAAAATTATTAGATTCTATTCTAGATGAGCTGTGACCATGCCCAGTTTATTAATCAATGTCCTCCCTTCCCACATGACATGTCTTAGAACAACTTTGATGGGCAAGAAACATCTGTCCTCCAGTAAGGTGAAAATAAATTATCATCTTTACCTACTGAGGCCAGGTTCCTGAAGGTTTCCCACATCACATCTCTATACAGTTTCTTCTGTGAAAGATCCAGTAAAGCCCACTCCTCCAGGGTGAAGGTTATGGCCACATCCTCATAAGCCACTGAGTCCTAAAATAGTCCAAATATGTGTACAGCAGGATGAGTGAGACTGACAGCACTGGACATCCACACTCCATTTACAGGATGGTTACATATGATTCTGTTGTGTCCAAATATTTATTTTATGACTTCATCATCAAAAACTTATTCTCTATTCATACATCTTTATAAATTTAACCCTATCATAAACACATGGAAACTATTATACACTTTTACAGTGATCACATGTCATTATTTTTCTCTAATGGCAAGGTTTGGAGCATGTTGGGAAATAAGAGAAATGCTATACAAATGAAACAAACATTATTTTATGACTTTCATCTCCTTATTATCCACAATTTACAGCACTCGATGAAGCAGAGGATCAAATCTATACAGGGTTTCAATGAATAAAAACATAGTGAAAAACTAGTGGCTTTTTGTTCTATTCCTATTACCAAACATGAGAGTCCAGGAGGCCTGTGGCTATCCCGGTATTAACAAAATGCAATAGATGACCATGTTATCCTAAAAATTATAATTAGATACATGTGGCAGAATAAAAATATTCTTAGAAGCATTGCTTTTACCTTGTGTAATATTCATCACAGACTCAGGTTTTTGTTTTTGTTTTGGTCTTTCTGATTTAATGAGCTAGACAGTTTTTTGGAACTTCAAGCTCAGATATGAGAAAGAAGGCATGACTACATAGGCCACAAAATTCCTATACTCACGTATAGGGCTATTTCTACCCCATCATTGGTGTGTTTGCATGCTTGCGCACGCGCGCACACACACACACACACACACACACACACACACTGAAACAATAATATGCCATAAAAGCTTTTTCTGGCAAAACTATAACAGTCTATCCTCAGCAAAGGAGTTCACTGAAGTCCACCATGGTTTGATGGTAAATTTGCCCATGATTAGAAAATATGTAAAATTGTCAGTAATGCTTTCCTCCAAAAGGACATAACATCTCCATTCCCCAATCAAGAGGAAGTGTTTCCTGACCAGCCACTCTGGAGGCTGCCCTCCCTTCTTCTGTCATTTTCAAGTGCCCCCAAGGTGTAAAGAGGCATGATCGCTCAACCCCTGAGCATAGGAATCCCTCAGCTGATGATACCACACATGGCCAGCAGGATATGAGTTTATTACTTCCACAATAATCGAGTCTCTGGGAAGCAGAAGGCAGGCCTCTCGGGCTTGAAATAGACAGAAAATAAAAAGAAAGGTATATGGACTTGTGTTTTTATGAGGCTAGGGGGTGGGTTATGGTGAGTGTTCACACACAAAGGTGGGAGCTTGCGTGGATTCAATCTCTGCTGCCCTGAGGGAGGGAGCACTATGATTTTCCTATCACCTCATACAGATGTGGGGCACAGGGGGAAGGAGGGATGAGGCTGGAAAACCATCCAGAGTCTGAGCAAAAATTGGAGGCCCACTGTCATTTCCAATTTCACACCTTTATATTTAAGGAAATGACAGTGGGCCTCCAATTTCCCAAAAATCCACCTTAAATATAAAGATACAGATAGATGAAAGGTAAATTAACACAAAAACTTGAATTTCTCTTCTTAGATTTATCAGAGCATTTAAATCCAATGCATCATGTTGTCTCTAAAACAGGAAAGTGAAAATAAAAACATTTTGAAAAATGCCTCAAATCTTGTTTTTAACATAGCCTATAGTAAAAAATAAAAAAAAAAAAAATTCAGCAGAATCTCATGCAAAAATAACAAAGAAAAAGGTCAGAACACAATATCCATGAACCCTGGGACAACTTTTTTTAAACATGAGGTTTATATGCACTTAATGGGAATATCCGAAGGAACAAAAGACAGAAATAGAAGAAATCACTGATGTAACAATCACTGAGATTTTTCTAAAATTAATGACAGATAGCACACTCTAGATACAGGAAGCTCAGAGAAAACTAAACATGATAACAGAAATGCACATCTAATATCTCATACTCAAACTACACAAAAATCAAAGACAAAAAGAATATATTGAAAGAAACCAGAGAGGTAAATACCTTAGTTACAGAAAAACAAAAATTAGAACTAAATCAACTTATTTTAGAGTCATAGAGAATTTTTAAAACTAGTATTTAGAAACCTCATTGAGTACTTTGTAACGAAGCTTTCAAGATTAGCTCATGTCTTATGAAAATTGTTCCCATCACTAAAATTTCTTGTAGCCTTTCAGGAATCATAATGACTTCAGTGTTTTTAAGGCTCATAAGATGACTTTAATATTGCCAGCTTTCTCTAAATTTCTCAGAAACACATTGAGGCATGCAGATTCATTGGGTGGCTTAAATCAAATTTATGAGAAATCATGCAAGTGAGAAGAGTGGAATGAAATATTTAGTTTTGTTAAAAACTATCACCCCTAGAATTCTGTATAAAGCAAATTTTTCAAAAAAGAACATGGCCTTTCTGAGATAAAAACTGAAGATCTGTCATTAATACACTTGCATAAAGAGAAACATTAAAAAATAAATCAGAAAGAATGTAAATGATGATGGTGGAGCATCAGAAAAGAAATAGATTAGGTAAAACACCTTTTATATTTATCACAATTAACAGATAACACTTTGTTTACAATATTAGCAATAATGTATATGGTAATCATAAGCCAATGAATAAGTGAAATGTCAACAATGTGACAAGAGGCACGGGAGGCAACTGGGAATAGTGTTGTATGAATTAAAAGCATGACCAGAAAAATGGTACACTCTAACATGACAGAGGCAATAGCTTAGTTGTAAATGTATACTAAAAACTCAAGGGAAACCATTAAAAAGTTAGAAAAATACACATAACTGAGAAGAGAGAAGAAAACAAAGAATCAGGTAAAGTGCTCAATTAAAGCCAAAGAAGGCAGAAAAAGGTAAAAGACAAAAAGAAACAAAGCACAAGGCCAACATACGAAAACAGTAAAAGGTGTGGTAGATATTAATCTAACTGAATCAATTACTACTTTCATCATCACTGGTCTCCCCATACAGTACTGTAATACCAGATTTTGGAAATCGCAATTATATGTTGTGTACAAAAAATCCACCTTAAATATAAAGATACAGATAGATGAAAGGTAAATTAAAGAAAAGAAAGCTGGCACAAGTATATGAATTTTATACAATGTAGATTCCAGAAAAAGGAAAACTCAGAGATAAAAAGGGGCATTATATAATAAAAGGGGTCCATTCTCAAAAAATGCATATTAATCTTCATGTGTATGTGCATAACAACGGAGAAGCAAAATACACGAGGCAAAAACTAATAGAATGCAAGGAAAAATGGATGAATCCACTATTATAGTTGTAGACTCCAATAGCCCCTTATCACAAATTATATTCCAGTAGGAAGTAAATCATCAAGGCCACAGAGTAACTCAACAGCACCATGTAAAAACTGAATTTAATTGTAATCTATGGACTAACTTCATGCAACAACAGAATACACTTTCTCTAGTTCTTATGGAATAGTCACCAAAATAGACATTCTGGGACATAAAACACACCATTACAAATTTTTAAAAATTTATTTATTTTAATTAGTTTCAAGTATACAGTACATTGGTTAGACATCTATATAGTTCATAAAATGATCCCCGGAATTGCTCCTTCCCTCCCTTGGCCCTCCACTTAGCCATCATATTAATGCTAACTGCATTCCTTCTGCCGTGCTCCCCATTCCCGTACCAACTATCAACTACTAATTTGTACTTCTTTAACCCTTCACTCTTCCTGACTCCCCTCCCTTCTGTCCATCATCAAATTGCCCACTATATTTGTGAGTCTGTTTATGATTAGTTTGTTCCTTTTGTTCCTTAAATTTCACATAAGTGAAATCATATGGTATTTATCTTTCTTGATCTGACTTATTTCACTTAGTATAAGAACCTCTAGGTCCATCCATGTTGTTACAAATAGTAGGATTTCATTTTTTTAATGGCCGAGTAATATTCCATTGTAGATATGAACCATAATTTCTTTATATGACTGTTGATGGGCATTCAGGTTGCTTCCATATCTTGGCTATTGTAAATTGTGCTGCCATGAATATTGGAGTGCATAGATCTTTAAGAATTGTTTTGGTTTTCTTTGGATAAATACCCAGAAGTGCAATTGCTGGGTCAAAAGGTATATCCAGTTTTAATTTTTTGAGAAACCTCCATACTGTTTTCCAAAGTGGCTGTACCAATATGCAATCCCACCAACAATGTATAAGGGA